TCAAATAACCCGCGAATAACGACCGTAAGCAATTCGTCCAGTTTAATAATAGATTAAGATCAAGCCTTATCGATAAATTTTTGGCCACAAAGCGGGGGATTACAGCCGTTGGCAGATAGAAATCAGGTATAAGATGGAAAGAGCAGCTCCTAGCCCATGACTGGATGAAATCGACACACTAGTTCTTCTTGTTGGATGTCCAGTGACTGCGCTTACTCTTTTCTTGTTTTTAGGATCTATGGGCAATAATTTAACATTTCTTTACATGGAAAGGGTAAGCATAGAAGAACCCGGCCACATCGCCGAGAAAGCCTTCAAATTATATATATTATGTCTACCGTATATTTTGTTGTAATTTTTCCTATTGTTACGTTCCTTACAATATGTTCATGGGTATATCGTTTCAGATTTTCTTCCAAGTTGATGCAAAAAACCATTGCTTAGCGTTCTTTATCGATTACGAAAAGGAACATTTCTCAGCTGAGATCAGGGTCTGTAAGCGTAGGATATTTATATAAGGCCTTTCTTACATTTTGGGTAATGTATAAAGCACTGCTCATGTAGCTGAAGTAATGATTGTACTTAACTAAAATTACTGTTATTTTTTGAGGACAGTTTATTCAGATTTTTAGACTCTAAATTCTGCTTCTTTTGCGTCTGGTGGCACTCGTTTATTTAGCTCTGCAGAACGAAATACGAGTTACTCGGGCCTGCTATCAAACCCACGATGTATACTATGAGTTCAGCACTGCTGAGCAGTTATGATCAGTTCACAACTTCACCAGTTCTGAAGCATGCGATGTCATATCTAGAATCAAATCATATCAGTAGAAGGTGCATGTAGAAGTTAATAAGTTTGAGGTAGTGAAAATTTTTTGGTAGAAAATATTTCACGTTTACAGGTAACGATCAGTTTTCAGATTAACAGTTAAATTTTAGATTTTTGACCGACAAAACCTGAACTGTGTACAAGTGCTCACTGGTCATACCGGCTCTGTTTTGTGTCTGCAATATGACGACAGGGTGATAATTAGTGGCTCCAGCGATTCCACTGTTAGGTGAGGCAGCTTTTTAAATTTTGTTCATCATACATTGTTATAATGCTATAATGTTATAATGCATGTGAACTTGTCTAAAATAGAAAGCTTACTGCTTTCTCGTTCTCCAGCCCGTTGCTCTCTTCAGGTTAACGGAGAGGCAGTGGAACAGGTGGAAAAGTTCAAGTACTTCGGAGTCGTATTTACTAGCGGTGGAAAATTTAGGAAGAGATCGACCAGCGAATTGGAGTAGCCAGTGGCGTTCTGCGTAACTAGCCAGATCCATTGTGACTAAAGCAGAGCTCAGTCTGAAAACTAAGCTCTCGGTATTCAAATCGATCTTTATTTCCATGCTTACCTACGCTCATGATTCGTGGACCATGAATGAAAAGCCTCGAACCTGGGTACAAACTGCTGAATGGGCTTAGATGGGTCGCTGGTCTTTCTCGTCTCGACAGAGAATACTGATATCTAGGAGAGCCTTGGTGTACGGCCTCTGCTTTTCCATATTGAAAAGTCACAGCTGCGATGGCTTGGGCATGTGTTGCGAATATCTCCAGAAAAGATGGCTAAGCAACTGTTTCTTGCGAAATCAGCCGGCAAAAGGCCCAGGGGTCGGCCAAGATTAACCTGGTGCAAACATATGGAAGGAGTCTGACCCAGACTACAGTTGTCTTCTGCGAAGCTCGGGCTCTGGCACAGGATCGGTAACGTTGGAAACTCTGTCTGACGCGTCTTCCTCCGGGACCCGAAAGGAGAAGCGGCCATAGAAGATGAATGAAACGAATGAACATTTTGTTATTATATCACTTAAATTTTTGATTGGTGTGCAAATTAGATTGAATTCTATACTTGAGAAATAAAATCTGGGGTGAATATCTAGAAAATGTTTTTAAAGTATACTTAACTTTTGACTGGTTAAGATCCTTTAATTAATTAATAGCCAACACAGCACGCGTGTTGCATAACACATCGTAGGCTCCCATTGCGGTGCTTCATGCAAGACATCCAAGTTGCCTAGACTAATCTTGTGTGACATGATTTTCCTTAGGTGTTGTTGGCTATTGTGTTGAGAACTACCTGTGTTATCATCAACAACGTTTTCTTCCTAAATTTCACCCGGTCTTTATTTATCATGCGTATGCTGCATATAGTTTTGAAACAGAACACTGCTTTGACGTTATGCACATGCGTTTAAATGGAGAAACTTTCACTTTGATATCTCCTTCTTGCTGTCTTGAAACTTTCATTAATCGACATTGTTTTTGAGGAAGCTTAGTTTGTTGTTTTTTTGGTTCTTTTTGATTGAGGCTTATTTTTGAACAAAAGGGTCGTATTATTGATTGCACTTTTTATTAAATTTGGCTTACACTCTTGATCCACGCACAAGATTTTTTAGATATTTGGCGAAAATTTCGCATATCTCAGTTAAATGGAAAGAGCCGAACCGAAAACCTGAAAATATCGAGGGAATTTGAATATTACCCCGAGATTAGGATTTAAGATTTGATTCTACGTCTTATGCTAATTATCATACTGGGTAGTTTATTAATCGGTGAGTTAAGGCGAACTGTAGCTCTAAGTGGCTCTCGCATTAGACATTATGGCTTTACCTGTAGCTGTGTGAGCACAACAGAACGTAATGTTGTACTTGTTTGGAAATAGCGAGTTTCTTCGCTTTTCGGCTGGTTGCACTGAAACTGCGTTTGGTGAAGGGGATTAGCAGTTAAGGTAAATGGCTTCATTCTTTCTCATCATTCGAACTCAGTGTCTACGGAATTCGAAGCTGACTTGTTACACTGTCAACACGTCAGTTATTTGAGTATTAATATATGCATTTCATTGCAAGTCTAGGCTACTTCGCTGCACAGCCTGCGTTTCCTCTAGATAATCATAAAAACAACAGTTGGTCTTGTAGGCGCTGAAAAACTAAATGTTAAAGTTGGTGTAAATAAACATGCGCACACTTTATAGATTTGCATGGTGTTTTGGAGGTATTGTTACACTGCCTCTTGATTCTGGACAGTTTATATACTCTGATCAGTGGGCTGCAGCTTCTGGATATTTTGCTAATACAATATACTTCGCATCGTTTTCTTTGTACTTAATAAAGTCAGCGAATAAAGAAGTTTGTCTCGTTACTTCCTTTCTTTGTCACGCGCGAAGACACTTTCACCATAATCTATCATTCGTAGTTACATAGATTTCACCTCTTAAGTCGGATGTTTATTCAGCATAATTGAAATTGAATTTCATTACCATAATCACAGCTGTAGCTGGATATGAGAGTTGTTGTCATTGGCAGTGTAGCCTAAACCGCTAGCGGTAAATTATTTGTCTATTGCCAACATTTTCAAATTGAGTCTATAATCAAGCGAATTTTAGGGTTTGGGATGTGCACACGGGTGAAATGCTCACCTCCCTTATTCATCATTGTGAAGCGGTGTTGCATCTGCGTTTCCAAAATGGCATGATGGTCACGTGTTCTAAGGTAGCAGTGCCATTAATTTGTTTTAGAACTAGATGTAGCGCGAATAGCTTGCGTTTAATTCAGGACCGAAGTATCGCGGTATGGGATATGGTGAGTCCAACAGAAATAAACCTTCGTCGCGTTTTGGTGGGTCATCGCGCTGCTGTAAACGTTGTCGATTTTGATGAAAAATATATCGTTTCCGCTTCTGGTGATCGAACCATCAAGGTTTTGTTGTAAATATAATCATGTGTCTGCCTGCGGAATGGTTGATCTTTAGGTTTGGAGCACTGACACCTGCGAGTTTGTGCGAACTCTGAGTGGTCATAAACGAGGTATCGCTTGCCTGCAGTACCGTGACAGATTAGTTGTGTCAGGCAGTTCAGACAATAGCATAAGGTTTGTTCTGTGCATCATTTCTTGTTTTTATATTTTGTTAGGTGTTTCACGTAGAAACCGTCAGGTCTTAAAGCGTCTATAAAAGATGTCACGGCACCTTTTTTTGCTGAGGACCATAAAACTGTCGAGAAAGACGTCTTGTCTTGTGTGAGGGTATACGATAAAAATAAGGCCAGTTGAGTAAATTCGTCACTGCCTCAACGACAGGCCTATGAATGCACCTCACAGATCCTTATACGAGGGCTAGCGATACAGTATTTACGAGGGAATAGCAGTTTGTATGTGCATTTAAGATAAATCTTTTTCAGATTAAAGTAAATACACTGACAGCTTACTTAAGTCTTTTGTGATAGTGATTCTCATATTGTTAGACCAAAGTAGAGATTTAGACAATTCTGGTCAAATGACACTCGGAGATGACGTGAATAGCGTTTACACCGCTCACACTGTATTTATTTTGAAAGGACGCGTTCACCTATAATACATAATGTTGCTCCCTCTCTGAGAACAATTTTTTTATATTTATGCCACACCTAACACATTTTTCAGGTATTTAATTAAAGCGCTCGCATTTTGACCACATTCTGACTATTGATTTTTGTATTTCTAGGCTCTGGGATATCGAGTGCGGGAACTGCCTCCGAGTTTTAGAAGGTCACGAAGAGCTTGTGCGTTGTATACGTTTTGACAATAAGCGAATTGTTTCCGGTGCCTATGATGGGTAAAAGTTTTTTCATCATAGTGATATTCGTGTCTATTATTTTCTATAAAGAATTAAGACCGTGATGTACTTAAATTCCCTTTGCAGCTCTTTTGCCGATGATGTTTATTATCATTCTATTAGTTTATATGGTTATTGGCAAGGAAAGACGGACAGAATGATGTCACGAGTGTCAGTCAGCCCAAGCGATGCCAGGAGTAAAGCTTATTTCATCTTCAGGTCAACAGTGCAGAATTTCGCAGCGTTGACCAGGTTTAACGCAGAGAGCGATCGCCAGCTCATCAGATGCAAAGTGTGCCTGGACTCAGCTTTAAAAAGAAGGAAATTGATGAGGACACGGAAGTTACTCAATGTGAAAATATGAAATAAGAAATCTCCTGCTATTCCAACTCAGATTAAGTAACTGATTCGGCGTCTTTCACGGAGTTCAAGAGTAGGAAGCAGGAGAAGCAGT